AGAGGGGGAGGGGATCCGAGGGGGAGCAGGACTTTTCTCTGATGGCCACCAGCTGGCCGGAGAGCCGGTGGCTGGGGGACTCCAACACACAACCGAGGCTGGAGGGCGTCAGGCTCCCGGGTCCTCACAAAACGGGCCTGCCCATTCGTGAGACTCCATCTGAGCGCAGATGCGCACAAACATGCTCGAAATGCTGGGCGAGGCAGCTCATGCCTGTAATCCCAGCACGCTGGGAGGCCGAGGTGGGAGGACGGCTTGAGTCAGGAGGTCGAGGCTGCCGTGAGCTGTGATCACACCACTGCACTCCAGCCTGGGCAACAGAGCAAGACCCTTTCTCAAACAAACACATTCGCTGGAATCACCTGCCGTGGGGCTGGCAGCGTACATGCCAGGGACCAGCCACCCGCTCCTGGCTGACCTCCTGGGCTTGCAGGTGAAGGTGGGGGCCCGGCAGGTGACATCTGGGGGTGACAGGGGGGACGGGGCTGTGGGGAACGGGAGGCGGGTCCCTCCCACAGAGGGCTGTGAGGCTCGGCCGGTGCCATGTGGGACTGTGGGCCGGGTGGGCTCAGGGCAAGTCCCCCATCCAAATTTCTTTTTTTTTGAGTCGGAATCTCACCATATCGCCCAGGTTAGTGTGCCGTGTCATGCCCACGGTTGCCACAGCCTTGACCTGCTGGGCTCGGGCGATCCTTCCGGCTCAGTCTCCCAAGTAGCCGGAACCACAGGCGCGCACCACCACGCCTGACTGAATTTTTGATTTATTGTCGGGAGGAGGTCTCACCAAGTTGCCCAGGCGGGTCTCGAACCCCTGGGCTCAGGCAATCCACTCGCCTCGGCCTCCCAAAGTGCTGAGATGACAGGCATGATTCACCACGTCTGGCTAATTTCTTTTGATTTATCGTAGAGACGAGGTCTCGTCAAGTTGCCTCGGCTGTTCTGGAACATCCAGAACTCTGATGAGAAAATCCCCTGAATTGTAATCGCTGGCAACAAGTTCAGAAAAAGATTTTGACCATGCAGTTGGTGCCAAACAAAACAGTTTTACTGGGGATTTGGACCCTGGCCTGCCAGACTGCAAACTCAGGTCCCGGCTGTTAATTATACGGGATGGAGAGGATAATACCAGCGGCAGCTCCCGCTGATGCTGTGTAGACTGTGTGCGTGGCCCTGCGCCTTGAGGCCCCCATGAGGTGGGCGCCGTTATTGATCCCTTGGTGCTGATGAGCACGCCAACGCACAGAGAGGTTAAGCCACTTGCCTAAGGTCACACAGTTGAGGTGACAGAGCTGGGTTTGAGCCAGGAATCCGGCTCCAGAGACCCACTTTAACCCCAAGGCGACGGCGAACCAGGTGGTCGCTGCTACGATAAGCTGTCCTTGGGATCGGAGGCCCCTGGTGATGTGAGGGCTCTTGGCACCACCCAGATTCATCACCCCTGCCTTTTTTTTCCCCCTTTGAGTCAGGGTCTCGTCTCCCTCTGCTGCCCAGGCTGGAGTGCAGTGGCACACTCATAACTCGCCGCCACCTCGACCTCTTGGGGTCTCAAGGTGTCCTCCCACCTCAGCCTCCCAAGCTGCAGGGACTACAGGCATATGCCACCATACCTGGATCATTAAAAAATTTTTTTGTATAGAAGCAGGGGTCTTGCCGGGCGTGGTGGCTCATGCCTGCAATCCTAGGCAGAGGCGAGAGGATTGCCTGAGCTCATGAGTTCAAGACCAGCCTGAGCAACACGGCATAGCCTCGTCTCTACAATAAAAAAAAAAAAAAAAAGAAGCGGGAGTCTTGCCATGCTGCCCAGGCTGGTCCTGAACTCCTGGCCTCAAGCCATCCTCCCGCCTCGGCCTCCTAAAGTGCGGGGATTACAGGCATGAGCCCCCATGCCCAGCCCTCACCTGCCTTTTAAAAACCTGTGACGCAGTGAGGCGGGGAAGGAGAACGACCCCAGCCGGTCCCGGGGGGTCTGCAGGCGACTCTGTGTTGCCCCCAGAGTGTGCCCTGTGCCGGCCGAGTCAGCCTCCCCCGACCTCGCACCTTGGCGGAGGCAGAGGCCAAGCCTCCTGGCAGGGCTGACCCCACGGCTGCCCGGTCCCCCGCCCCTCGCCCGGCACCGACAGGCCCGCTCACAGCAGTTATTAGCATCTCTCTTCACCCGCAGATGTGCGGCCGGCGTCACAATGACAATAGCGGGGCAGAAAATAGAAAGAGATTTTGGAATTTGTTCTCCAAAGATATTCAAATTAGTTAATCAAGGAGCTTATTATTGCCTCTCAGCTCCCCCGGCCCCCGCCCTCCACGAGGATAATTGATCAGCTGCTAATAACTGATTACACTTCACGAGTGTTTCTCCCGCCCGTCATCCGCGTGTTTAAAGACATTGTGTAAAGTTCTCATTATTTCAAATTGTTTTGCTGCAGAAAACGCCTCGGAAGAGTCGTGTCTGCCGAGCTGGGGAGGCCTGGGCCAGGTCCGAGGGCGTCCGGCGGGCGGGCGGGGCGCGGCGGGCACACGGGTCCAGGTGGCATCACGGCCCCCTCTCCGGGCCCCCGAGGGCTCCTCCCCCCTCGCGTCCATTCTCCACCAGGATGTGGCCCCAAGCCACCGTCCCTTGCGGACAAGCCCGGGCCAGACTCCTCAGCCCACACTCCCTTCCTTCCTTCACTCCTTCATTCATTCATTCACCTAGCACGGCAATTCTCAAAGCAGTTTTGGTCTCAGGACCCTCTGCACGCTTAAAAACGACGAAGGACCCCAAAGAGCCGTGTCAAGGCAGGTTGCAACAATCGATACTTTTTGTGTTCAAGATCAAAACCGATAACTTTTCTTTAAGAGTCAGGGTCTCAGCCGGGCTCGGTGGCTCAGCCTGTAACCCCTCGCTTGGGGAGGCCGAGGTGAGTGGATTGCCTGAGCCCGCGGGTTCGAGACCCGCCTGGGCAACTTGGCGAGACCTCATCTCTACCATAAATCAAAAATTAGCCGGGCGTGGTAGCGCGCGCCTGTAGCTCCAGCTACTTGGAAGGCTGAGGCGGAAGGATCGCCGGAGTCCAGCA